ATGAGTACCACCACAGATCAAGTGAGAAGGTTTCCTCATCTGATGTTTCTACCTGAAGCAAATGAATTCCACTAACAAGTGCAGCACTGGCAACCACAGGATTTTTGTCAACGATGGCTTGCTTCAAGTATCTCTCTATTTGAGTGAGAAGGGTTCCATCCGTGATTCGACAAAGGACACGGATGGCATTTGCCCGATACATATCAGTTCTACTGTTCATGTCCTTCATCAATGAGCTTGTGACTATGATAACCTGTAATGCCAGAAGAACACCATGTCATTTCCTTCTTAACGAGATGATAAAACTATGCTGAAAATAATCCAAGTTTGCATCTAACCTCATCAGCCGATGGAGAAAGCTCCTTAATAATCAAATAAACCATTCTCCGGAGAGCAATATCTTTTGATTGGAAGAGCTTTGTCACAGAAAAAAACACTTCTGTAGCTTCAACCTATAGATTAATTACAACATTAAAAAATGAACATAAAATACTCTGCATTAGCTCATTGACACATTTTCAGCATAAATTAATACGAGTAACCTTGAGCAACAAGAATTTACACCAATAGTTAATAGTTTTGCTATAGCATCAATCAAATTGTTTTTACGAAAAAAATAAATAAAGTGTGAGGCTATAAAGTATTATTGCGCCTATTTATTTTAAAGTGAAAAGCACACTGAAGTAACATAGGATTATTTAATAATTAAAAGTATAAATGGGTCTGTTTAGTTGATACCTATGTAGTTACAGTCTAACGGAGAGTGGAAATAAACAGGTATGATTGAAAATGTAAATTTAGTCATCCCTTGATAAGTCCATATGCTGAGAGGGAGGAGTAGTCATGTAGTACCCTCTACCCCCTCCCCCCCCCCCACACCCAAAAATAAGAAACAAAAAATAATAATTCGATCATCAAAACATCAACAATTGGATTAGTTCACGCATTTTTTTCATTTTCCATCATGTATGATGTATCGATGAACATTTCAAAAACTGACCTTTGTGAATGTTTCGCCTTGGTTCAGAAGATACAGAAGCTTTGTAATGACCTAAAAAGCAGACAAAACGACCAAAAGTATAATTTTAAATAATCAATGCAGGAGGCTGAAAAGAATGAAGTGAAGTAAAACTAATAACATGATACCTGCGAGCATCTTCTTGCATCCAACTGAGGATCATTGAAAACTCTGGCTTCCTGTAGGACTCCACCCTTATCAATCCCCAAAAATGGGGAGTAATCCACTGCATTATAGCCAAAATAGACCACATCATTGCAAGAAAAGACATCCCATCCAACAACACAGTTCTTAATCCTAATTTAGAATCCACAGCACATAGATCTAGACTACAAGCAGCATCCCACACCATAAGATTGAGCCAACAAACCAAACATTAGATTCATATCCCGTGATTCCATAAAAAACTCTCAATAAACACAAAATCCTAAGCAGACTTGTAACAACTTATCTCCTACCAACCGAATCCACATTGCTGAGAAATAACCGTAATTGACTAAAATACGCACAGCTTCAATTCGATTCAGGACGCACAGATATAGTATAATGCAGATCTATTGAGATTGAAACGTAGATTAATGGAACCGAGATATGATCCGTCGGAAATGAAAACTCCAAACAAACAGAATTGGAACACAGTTCAAATAATGGGCTGATGCGTGTTTTTAAACAAGAAACATCACAGTAGGAGAGTGAGTTTGAGAGAGACTATACTTTCTTCATCGCGATCGTCGTCCTTCTTCACCGCAGGCTGAGCCATTCTGAGTCGCGGGGAAGGTGCGAGATGTCGATGCTCTCTCTAATGGAAGAAACTCTGAGATCTCATCTATATACGATACACACTCTGCACGAACGGAGGGATGAATTGACGGGGTAAAAACGTAAAATCGGGGTTCCGTGGAAATTAACTCAGAATTGTCAGCACAAATACGGATAAAATTCATCAATTTTACCAAAACTATGGTCCCGTTTGACATCAGCGTTAGAGGTTAGTGTTTTGAAAAGACTATCTAATGGTAGTCTTTAACGTTATCTTTTTTAGAATTAATCTACACTGTTAAAATTTTATTCAAAACGCTAGAGCTAATTGAAAACGCTCTTTCCAAACAAGGCTTATGTCTAAACTTTATTTTCTCTCAAACAAATATACAAAATTTGAAGAAAATTTACAAGATTTCCAAATTACTATCAAATTACTTTGGACGTAATTGTAATTTTATGAGGAGGGGAATAACCCCAAAAGATCTTCTCATTTTGACTTTAGGCAAAAATAAGAAAAGTGTAATTTTGGTTGACTTTCCAATTTTGTCTCTGATGTGATGAGTAAAAGTAAGATGTGATAGTTTGGTTATTAGTGAAATAGTATGATATGATAAGTAGGGTTGAAAAAATAGGGGTAAAAGTGGTTTTTTAATAGAAAGTGGAAATGTTTTAGGGAATTGGGAAAAAATGAAAGGGAAAGAGTTTTATGCAACGGAGAGAGTATAATTTTAGGGGACAGTTCAAGTGACATAGAAGCATTATGTCATGGGATGACTCGATGGTGCTACGGTGCTTCGTTCGTAAAATTGACAGTTCCTACCTTCTAACTTCTCTGGTAAACCCCCCACCCCGACCCAAATCCCCCCACCCCTACACCCTTTTCAATTGCCCCGAACCGTCAATTTTACAATGGAGCACCGTAGCTTCCACAGGTCATCTCATGAGATGGGGTTCTAATGTCATAGAGACTCCTCCGACCATTTTATATTCCTTCAAAAAAATAGTTTAATCATCATTCAAATTTTCTCGAATTTGAATCAAAAGTGATTAGTATCAATGTATCATCATGAGCCATTTAGCAATAACTGCCGTAACATAAATTTGCTCCATGTAGATGTGTTTGATGGTATTAACTCATTCATTCTTTAGACATCTTTTACACTCTCATCCCAAGACAGCTTGTCCCAAAGGGTTCATCATCACAATGCATCTATCTGATAGCATCTATAAAATCACTTTAGACGACTATATAGAGACCATCTTTATTTCATGTCCATTCAAATTTTAGAAGTGTGGTTTTACACTCAATGTAGACCACATTATCAAAATCAAATCTGCTCATGAAGTCACCTCTCTAGTTCCTAATAGGGTTCTGACTGAAGTAAGCACGCCATTCATCCCTTGATGGTTACAATTTGCAGTCAAAGTAGGTGATCTTATTGGCGGACTCTCCCGAGTAAATAGTTTGCTTAATTATACACATTGCCCCCGTAGCATACCAGCCTTTGTATATGTCTCCAAAATACCTTCTTTTGTTGCATAATCCACCGAATTCTGTCCTCTAACGTAGGGATGGGCACGGGTCGAGACAGTCATTTTATCATAATTTTTTTAAACAGTTCGGGCCACAAGCTTATCCCTCTTGATCCCTTAATATTCGGGATTGGAATAAAACAGAACAGGTTTGGGTTATCCTGTTTTGTCATTATCCGAAATTAGATATAAAAATATAAAACATATAAGGGCGAGGCAACCCACTTTGACTAGCAAAGTAATGGAAAGTGATATATTTATTTTAGAATGTCTACAAAAGCAAAAACAATGGAGAAATATGAAAAAATGTTATCACATGCGTCAAAAGTAAAGACTATAAACTTCATAAAAGCTATGAGCCACAAATTGGGGCTGGTCGAGTTAGAACGGTATGGATTTTTATGTGTTAAGTCATAGTCTATTTTTTAGGATATTTGAATCTAGATATTTTTTATACCTATATTGGGAAATAAATTTGTGACATATTCTGTGTTATATCATTATATAAATAAACGGATAGATATATACATATATATGGGACAACGAGACGGAATGTAAAAATATTTACGTGTCCCGGTCATGTCCCTTTTTAAAATAGTTCTGAATGGATCCAGAATAAAACTTTATCATCCCTAACAAAGAGAGACATTATAGAGATGGGACCGAGATATTTCGGGTTGAGATAATGGTTTTGATATCTTTACCCACCCCTTCTTAAAAACATATACTACCTCTCTCCATGAGTATTTGTCAAGTTTTGACTTTTTTCGACTAACCATTTTCAATCTTTGACCTTTAATTAGATAATATATATTGTATATTAATTAGATAGAATAATATTTTGAAAATATTTGATATAACAAATCTAATAAAACTATTTTGGTATTAATATCTAATATCATTTTTATTTAATCTAGGGCTAATGTCTGCCAATTTTGATAGAAAAAAGTCAAAAGTGAACAAATACTCAGAGACGGATGGAATCGATATCCATCAAACTACATTAAAAAATATAGTTGGTTATTCGTCCACATGAAGTATGTTGTTTTGCCCTTGAATATTCCCAATGATTTATTTTGAAAATCCAACCTGTTCGTTGGCTAAAAACATGTCTATCCATAAAAAAGAACTTAACATATTTTGTCACGGGACAACATACATATAATGACATGTTTTACTGTCTTGTCCATGTCACGACATTGTATGCAGCCTCTAGAGAAAGACAAGTGGCACCTCTTCCACTCTACGTAAAATTTATTCATGTCGATAAGCCACATAAAGGTTTTTATGTGTTTTGTTGCATTAGATTGCCACAACTTCTTCAAGACTTTATCTTTCAAATTCTAAGAAGCTAAGCTAGAATTTACATATGCGAACAAGACTGAAAAATTACATGAACACTTCAATACCAGTAAAGGTCATATTCTTCATTAGTCGACTAAGTGAGTAATAGAGACTTTCTCTCGCAAGTCACAAGTTATGCATGGAAGGATGACTTCAAAAGTCACTCACTTCCAACCTATGTCTCATTGCCTATCGTCCGCAATTGTAAAATATGTTTGATCTTGGTCCAAAATAGCGATAAATAAAAGTTAGAAGAAAGCATCCTGACGAACTTTATTTTTTGTCATTATTTATTCGAATATTAAATACGTAGTAATTTCGTAATCACTAGCTTACAAAGACACTTTCACTGTCACTACCTTTTTGAAGTACTTAGGGTACTCAATTCACAAAATCAAAGATTGAGATCCAAATGTAATCTCGTAGTCCAACTTCACAAGAGTGAGTGACCCAAAGTTTATCCATCCTCTTTAACGGCGGCCCAAAGAGTAAGTGCAACCTCACGTCCCACCCTTGGTCTCGCCCCCAAACTCCTATTTGACTTCCACGAGCTTCCCCTTCCGGCTCTGGTCTCCTTCCTTCCAATTCGTCATTCCTTACAATCTTCCGTAGCCGCGCAGGAACTCCGAATCCGACCCTAACTGCGCCGTTCGCCGTTCGTCAGCCACCAACGAGGAAGCTACTTCGTCTGATCACCAGTGAGTTCAAATTAATTGCAATTGCTTACCTTTTAGATTTGAGACTTTGTTTTTGCGTTTTGTTTGCGTACTTTTCTAATGGATTCATTTTTTTTCTTCACTACATAATTGATTCAATTCATAGTTTCAATTGTGTAAAATTGTAAATGTAATGCGTAAAGATTTTTTTTCCTTCTTAAATTAGGAATTACAACCCAAATATATTTAAAGAAGCAACCAAGATTTAAAGAACCCAGTCCAGTGGAGGTGGTATAAATTTTAGTACTAGGAAGTCACTAATCGCATATTCTCAATGAAAAGGGATATTAAGAGAGTACTGGTTTTGAATCTTTGGAAATTGACCCGGATTAAAAAAGAAAATATCCAAGTTCCATCTAAATGTTCTGTTTTCGAATACTTTATAGGTGTTGTTCGTGTACAAGAGATTACCTCTATATCCCTTAAAAAAGTGCTTGTGTCTAAATTGTCCCATTATGGATTATGTATATTACTATATCAAGTTATGCATGGAATAATATGCACGAAATATTTGGTGGGTTTAAAACATTGATTGAAAGTGAGAATCTTTATGCTTAATATGTTCATTGTCTTGTTCATCAACTTCAATTGTCTCTTGTTGCTTCTTCGAGAGCACTTGTTTAGGTTAATTGGTTACCTCTCCATGTTGGTCGTTTTATTACTTATTAATGGAATTATGTTGCATAATAAACGATAAGATATCCTTCAAGAGAAACAAACATCACACTTTATCGTATCACACAATCTGTGTGCAAGGTTAAGATGTGTTGAGTTAGTGAGTAGTTTGGGAGGAGTAAAAGGGTGATAGTAACCAAAATAGGAGGAGGAGGAGGGGGGGGGGGAATAAGAAGAGTATATTGTTATTAATGCATGAAATCAGAATCTAGTCTCACAAAATTATAAAGATGAAGATTAATCTTTGTTCGAGGATAAGCAAGTATCTTGGATTCATCTGACTAATAAAGCCAAAACCACTAAGCCCACATTAATAGGCCCATGCAGTTCTACATTGTATAGGTCATGTTTACATTTGGAAAGAAATAAAGCCATGAAAAGCAATGTTTTGATCACGGGGATGAAGAAGAGTTGCTGATTTGGTGAAAAGATTGTCTTTTTAAACCATTCATGTCTCTTCATTTATTGTTTTCAAATAACTTATTCGAGTGAATTTGAAAATGCAACCAAAAGTTGAAATTACAATCTCTGTATATGGCATAATAATTTCTGGAATTAATTATTGAAATCTTTGTATATATTCCATCCATACCTAAAAGGACTTCTTGCTTTTCTTTTTCAGCTATCCCAAAAAGTTTTGTTTCGGTTCAGAAAAAGAAATGATTGGTTCACACCATTTCTTTCTCTTATGCATAACCTTCTACCGTACAGTTTCACTTTTTCTTAAACCCCATGAAAAAGCAAAAAAAAGGTTTAGGGACAGAGGGTGTATAAAGGATATTAACATGGCATAGTACATTGACGGGTATTTGTCTTTTCTACAATTTTTTTTTGGTATCTGCTTCATTTTCTCAAACTTCCTTGACGACTTTCATTCATGATCATTCAGGTAGGTTTTTTTTAATGGACAATCTAGTCGATTCCTTAAACAGCAGTTACCTAGAGTTTGTTGCGGCAGCAGCCAATGTGCTTGAATCGAAGGAAAGCTCTGGCGGTCAGAAGACCGCATTGACTGATGCTGCTTTGGAAAAATTCAAACAACGTTGGGAGTTGTTCAAAGTTGCATGTGATCAAGCAGAGGAATTCGTGGAGTCGGTGAAGCAAAGAATTGGGTCTGAGTGTTTGGTGGATGAGGCGACTGGCTCTCTTTCTGGGCAGCCTGCCACTATGGGCGGGGTGCAGCCCATCAGTGCGGTTCGGTTGGAGCAGATGAGTAAAGCTGTCAGATGGTTAGTGATTGAGCTTCAACATGGTTCTGGGTCAGCTGGCACATCATCACAACCCCACCCTTCTGCTCCATTTGATGCCCGGTTTTCTGAAGATACAGCTCAATAGGTGAGTTTTACTATAGTTTGTGTGCATTCTTTATGTTGTCTGTATTACTCCGGGTATAATTTATAAGTGCCCATTTGGTTTTCAAAAAGTCTGCTTATGACCTGAATTCTTTTATGACTGCTGCTCGAATCACAACCTATTATAGCTATAGTGTAACACGGTAATTTTTTTTTATCTTTTTTTGCCGAAATGATAATTTAAGAATATAACACCTACATTTATTTTAATATTTTATTTTTTCAAATACAACAACCACTCATACCGTAAAATCCCACAAAAAATAAGTTATGGGGATGGCGTGTGTATGTAAAACTTACTCCTACTCCCTGGGTAGATAGACTGTTTCCAGGATTGCCCAATTTCACTAAAATTTTTACAACTTTAAACCCATTTCAACCAAAGTTTACGCTTGGCAAAGAGGATTGCCCAATTTAACCATTTTACCTACAAATCCATCCCAATTTAACCACAATACTTCAAATCCATTCCTTGAACATCATTGCAGGTGATTGCTGGTTGATTGTGGGCATAATGGCACCACCTATGGGTTGACGCCGCTATACAATTGTGTATCTTTATTGTGAAATATAGCAGCAACAGCGACAATAGGAAGCCCAAGATGTATTTAGTCCAATATTTATCCGAATTGGGTTCCGTTCTCAATAGATGCATTTATTGTAATATTGTATGAATTAAAAATTGTGTTTTTGTGTATGTGTATTGTGACTAGTGATGTATTTCATGTACCTTTATATTAACAGAATGCAATTTGTATGCACAAACAAGATTCTTTATTCTCGTTAATGACATGCGTTGTGTCTGGGTGCATGTTTTTAAGATTTTTGCAAGAACAAAGTTTCCATATGTTCTTGTTATTGGGCATAGCCACATAGGTTTGGTGTACATGAACCATGTAAGGGTACCCTATAGCTCACTCCACTTTTCACTCTACATTCTCACCGACATTCAAGATACTGTTATTGTTCAATGTCTATGGATCTCTCTGAGAAGATTGAGGTGAAAGATGGAGTGAGAGTCGGGGCGACATTGGCATTTTTCTGGTGTACATATAGCATTGTTCTTTTTTGGTAGTAGAACATGCCCTTAACTTATGCTTTGTGTATTTGTGGAGAGTATATAAAAGTGCAATGTTGGAGATGACTAATTGTTGGTTTTGCAGATTAACTTTTATGCATTTAAATTTTTTATATGTTCAAAGCTTTTATTGATTCTACAAATACTGATTGAAACATGCGAAAAATGATTGAGATTGGCATTTGCCTAACTGAAAAGCGAAGTGAGGCAAAATCAAAGTGAACCTACTGCGGCCCATGAGTTTTGAAACACATGGGAAAACTTTGAAAAGTGAAAAACTTTGAGGCGAAAAATAAGATACTCCATGGCGTACAAGTCATCTAAGGCTTGTTCTGTTCTCGTGATTTGATTGGTTTAGATTTGATTGAAATAAGTTCTGTTTAATTTTGGTTTGTCTAATATAATCTCATTTCAGTAAGAATAAGTAATAAATAATAAGAAAAAGCTGAGGAGAACTTTGGGAAGTGAAAAACTTTGGGGTGAAAAATAAGATACTCCATGTCGGATAAGCCATCTAAGGTTGGTTCTCTTCACCTGATTTGATTGGTTCTGATTTGATTGAACTAAGTTTTCTTTTGATTTGATTTTGTTTGATCTGGTCCGATTTCAATAAGAATAAGTAATAAATAATAAAAATAAATTAAAAAGAATAAGCTCTAACTAGCCTACACATGTTAGGAGCTCTTCAGAGTTCAAGATTTTCATAATAGAAATAGGCACTGTCCTCGTGGAGCTAAATTTCATATGATCTTAGCCCAATTTATTTTTAAAAAAAAACCTTATCCTTGAGGGTCTGTTCAAATATGGCCAGAGAGAAGGTCAATTTAGATTTTAATTGCTGATTGTTGCCACGGAATAGAGTCTGCACTTGGTACTTGCCTCCCAGCACAGTTGTCAAGAATCGAACTCGGATTTTCCCCTTGTCACTCCCTGTCGTTGCCCAATGCGCAACGTCCAATTTATTTTTCAAAGAATGGGACAAGACGGGCTAGGTTGTTAAAAATAATACTCGGTAACTCAAATTGGGTTTAATCGGCTTGTTTTAAATAATTTGGTTGCCACAAGTAGTTTATAAGTCATTTTTTAATTAAATCATTATTAAATCATACCGGCATTGATTTAAATCACTTGTTTTAAATAATAAAAATAAATCATAATTTTAAAATCACTTTAATACAGTAACTTGTACTATATAAAATTGTAATCCCTTCGTCCCTAAATAAATTATACTTTATGCAAAATAAAATAAAATTTTAAGTTTTTTCAATTCATTTTATTTAAAAATTGATGTAAAAATAAAAAATAAATTTATAAGGAGTATATTTTAAGAAATCAAAATTTTTACGAAATAAGGAGTGAAAAGACTATTTTATTTAATAGATGGAGTAATTTATAATTGAAAAGACTATTTTATTTACTTAAATCCAATCACTTCTGCTAAGTAAGCAGCTGATAAGCTCCCATGAATAAATAATGAAGTCATTTCTGCTTTCGTTTTGGTAAGGGGAGCACTAACATGGCAGGTAATTTCCTCTTCTTTTTTTTTTTTTGAATTTGGCATAACGAAAAAAAGATTGAATTTTGACTTCTGAGTTCTATCAGAATGCCTGCAAATTTGTTCTTGGTGGAATCCGCCGACCCGAACAAGTCACAGTTTTGTTTCTTCTTCTTCTTCTGGAAATCACACCCACTTGGGGAAATATAGAAATTTGTTGGTCATTTAATCAGACGAATTTCGCTTTATTTTTTTTGCACCAAATTTTATAGTGTGGGAATGAATAGTTTTACGTCTGGTAATCTCTGTGAGTTCAACTCACAAATTTTTTTTAAAAAAATTGATTTTTTTAGAAAATGGCTTTTCAGTAACTATGTTAGAATGTATCTGATATGATTGATTGTTCATTGTTGAGTTATACGTAGTATAAAAAAACTGATGAAACTAATGAGTCATGCACTTCAAACCTCCTTAAAAGCAGCAACTAATCATGTGATTTTTTTGCTCATAGCTTTTGTATTTTGGCTCACTCTCTATAAACTGTCTTGATTGTAGTTAATTCTGGTGGAAATAGTTTGTTACCTCCTGATTTACCTTTTTTTCTTATTAGTAAGAATGGTTCTCGCAGCAGAAACACCGAGGATTGATTTTGATCTTGTAATTATGGTGATTCATTGGCTTGAGTCCATGTCAGAAGGAGAAACTCTCATTAGCTTGTTTGTTTTGTGTTGTTGAATAGGTTCAAGGTTCTGTTTTTTTGACATTTTGAAATCATTTTGCAGGATAATGAATTTGGGAGAGAAGGTGCAGAAGTTCTTAAGGCGGACTTCTTTGGTTAGTCATTGTGATTACTTCTTTTGGAACATGAGTCAACCAGAAGCTGTTCGATAAAATGCCTAAAAGAGGCATTTGGAATAAGGAATTTGCTCTTTTGTTTTGGGAGTAGATGAAATGATTTACTGGCCCCCTTTTACATTTTTGTTTCGTTTCAAATTGGATACTTGCCAACATCAATTGGACTTCACAATGTCCCTCTATCTGATCTCCTAATTTGAGTCAAATGTTTTGTAGGGTGGAAATCTTGGACTTCGTTTGTTGTGGCTTACTATACACTTTTTCATTAGTATATGGTACTTTATGTTGGAAACAGTTCATGCCCTTGAGAGTGTTCTTATATCAAGCGGCATTTTTAAGAGTTACAAAGCCTTAAACGTCAGCAAAATACGACACTTGGCGATTGTCATTGACAGTGAAGAAGCCCGGGAAACTTCAAAAATCCTAGAACTTTTAGGGTTTCTTGCAAATATTGGTGTGAAAAGCATCTCCCTCTATGATAGTGAAGGTATGGAACTATGGATCTTTGTCAAGACAGAGTTGCATCCATATTCATGTGCTTCTTGATTAATTTGGAGACTTAAGGGCCCAATCGATAGTTATTTGACTGAAAAGGCTGTATTTTCTTAATTTGCAAAAAAATGTGTTTGGTAAATCTATTTCGTTCGAATAAGTCAAAAGCCACTTATTGTGTTGATAAGCAGAATCTATGGGTAGAGTAAGCAGATTATAGCTACCAAATGGAGCCTATATCTTTATGTCCCTTCTTTCTTGTTGTAGGAGTGCTTAAAGAGGCCAAGGAAGCCATCAAGCATGAACTGAACCGGACAAAATTCTCTCAGGTCAAGCTCTTCAATTAGCAATATTAGACTACTAGCGGTGTAACAGGTTCACAGTTTTTAGTTTCGTATAGTGTGTAGGATATGAACTGGCATTAACTGTGGGTTTGCTTCAAGAGAGGGGAGGGTAGAAATTCTAATATTACATCATTTGGAATTTGGATAAAGTTTTGGGGATGAATTTGAATACTAGCTTGCTTGGTAGAGGAGAAGAGGGCAATGAAAATAATGATATTTTGACAATATTGCCCTTATCTTATTCATTAATTGAAAATATTACAACATACTGTTTTTTACAAAACATATTTGGTATATGCTTATTAAGTTTCACCCAGAATGCTTATTTTGAAGCTTAAATCATGTGATTGAGAGAGAAAATGTGAAGTTCTAGAGTCTTTCCTGAAAAGGAAACGTGAACCTTATTTTGGAATGACAGCTGAAGTGACATAGTATTGGACCATGCAATTGCAGGGAAATTCATTACCCATTCCACTTCTACAAAAATATACGAATCTAGAATTCCTCTCATTAGTTGATGGAAAAGAAGCGTTGGTCGAAGCAGCTAATTTCCTCTTTGTCAAGCATTATTCTGGCACAAAACTGGGGAAGCACACTTTTACTGAGTCAGACATGAGTGATGCATTGAGAGCTATTGGTCTGTTGTGTTTCCCTTAAATTCCTTCGAATGCACACAATTCTCACTCGTCTTCTTCTTTTTATTTGTTTGGATTAATGCCGACGTTGTTCTGGTATACATTTTTTGGCTTATCAGCTTATTTTTTTGCCAAACATTAACTTATCTTATCCCATTGGCAGAATTGGATTACGATGAAAAATAGTACAAGTGTTACTTTTTTTTTGGCTGAAATGGATGAAACTAAAGAATGTCATGGTTTTTTTGGCACCTGCTTGGGGTATCACAATATGACTCTTGGCGCTACGATGCTCTGTTGGACCCCCAAGTAGTTCCTATCTCCTAACCCTCGCCCCCTACCCCCCTAGATAGCTGATATGCATACCGGCAATCCAAATGGAGGTTTGTGGCTGGGGTTAGGGGGTAGGAACTACTTCGGGTACAACGGAGCATAATAGGACGTTCAAATGACGAGTGTCTTGTTATGACTCTGGGGGTGGGTGTCAAAAGGTCCCGCCTCATTATAGAATATGACATTTCTACCGTCATTTCTATGTACGGAGTCTTATTTTGTTTATTATATTTAAGAAATGTATTCTAAATCTTCTTTAGATAATTTAGCAGGTTGAACCACAGGTTCATCAATTTGCATGTTTAGCAATTTTAGATATTACCAAAGAGGCTCTGAATGTGCTTTGTTTTCTTGGTTTTTACAGGTTGTGGGGGACCAGATCCCGATCTCTTACTAGTTTATGCGCCTGCAAGATGCCACCTGGGGTTCCCACCGTGGCGACTACGGTACACAGAGATTGTGTGAGTCCTTTTATGGTTCTGTCCTTTTTTTCACTTATACAAAATGTACATTATTAGCATTTGTTAGTACGTACTTCATACTATATATGGGAGAAAAAACCCGAAGGTTCTATTTGGAACTAGGAAAATGTTAGAGAAAGGAAATAGGGAGGAAAATTGTTGAGGATATAATTCTGCATTTAGCACCCAACCTAAAATGACTAATTCGGAGTATAAAAGAATATGAGTTACTTCTCCCATCTCCACTTTGTTTTTGGTTTGGAATCTCATAATTCTACATGATATCAGAGTCAAGACTTGTGAGTTTCAAAAAGAAGCTCGGGTCTATTCGAGCAGACAAAAAAGGACTCAAGTTACATTTATAGGGGGCGTTGAGGATATAATCTCACATCGAACAACCATGCTAAAAAATACTAATTTATATGAGTACAAGTTACTTCTGTCATCATCATTTTTTGGGGGGTTGGAATATCATAATTCTACCAAGAATATGAGAGAAATTTGGAAAGAAAGATTTTGTTACTCGCATTTCTTTTCTCTACCATTTTCAGGCTTCCAAACATAGCCTAAAAGAAAATAAAGTAGCCGATGTTAGTTTCTTAAGAACACTTGCATCACTATAGATTCTTGTAACTAGAATTTGAAACTTGTATTGTTGCAGGCACATGGGACCATTGAAGTCCATGAAGTTCGGATCCCTCGTGAAGGCAATTTATAAGTTCACCATGATTCACCAGAATTACGGTATGATACACTCACTAGATGAATTTATAGTTCGGTGTTTGTTGCTTTAGATGCACTCCTCATCACCACAACAATAATAACTACAATAACACTCATACTTGTTACGTTATATGCACTCCTCGTTACTACATTATAAAGAATGAATAATGAGACGAAATAATAATAAAACCGTCATCTTAGATATCTTCCCACCATATATGTCCAAGATCTTTGTGTCTTAGCTTGCACTTTATGTCGGTGTATTTTCACCTTAGTCCGTAGCGTATGCATGTGTGCTTTTTATGCTTTGGGCCTAATTGCTTGTGCCAGCATGTGCGCCTTTTGTCTATGTGTTCTTACTTTGTTCGTACATACTTTGTCTATGCTTCGTGTTTGGGTCTGAAATCTATTGAAAACAACTTTATACTCCCCCTGTCCCCAAAAAGACTTCTCATTTCCTTTTCGAGACATCCCAAAAAAAGACTTCTCTTTCCATTTTTTAGCAATTTTTGTGTGGCCCAGCATCTGTTTAGNGTATTTACGAGTAGGGGTAAGGTTTGCATGCACCCGATCTATCGAGACCCTACTTTTTTGTGAGGTTTTACTTGGTTTGTTGTTGTACATATGTCCAAGACACACAACTATGTGATCAACCACACAACTTCACTAGTTTTCTCTAACAACATGTGTTCATTTCAGGCAAATGAAACATTACAAGATGGATCCGACCCCAAGCATTCCCTTTGTGTAGTAATATTGAGTATTCACAGGATGATGAACCATAGTTTTTTTTTTTAAAAAAAATTCCCTATGGGGTTTTATTAAATTTTCTTTTGTATGGACATAATGCGATCACATTACCAAATGCAGAAAGAATCATGTGTCAGTTTCATTAAGAATTTTGCATCACGAGAATGACTACATATACTCCCCATTTTAGTATTTTTATAATATTTCTAAATAAAAAAGACTTGTTTTAACTCGTCCATATTATTATTATTATTAACATTATTATTATTATTATTATCGGTAGAGTTCTAGTGACACCCGTTCATAAAATTGACGGTTTCTACGCCCCTCACCCACCCATTTTGTGGGGGGCTTACAGCGGGGTTGGAGTGGGGGTGCAGGGGTAGAGGTGGGGATTTAGGGGGTGGGTTAGGGGTAGAAACCGTTAATTTTACGAACGGAGCACCGGAAGTGCGCCAAAATGACACCATACTCCGGTGTCACTAGAACCTCACAGTAACAAGCAAATTGGGATTCATTATTAGTTCATGTACAATTGATTTACAACTTTTACCATACAAGTGTATTGTTTATGATTACTTAACCTTTTTACCCGTACGCTATAATATATGCACGTAGTATAACAAAATCATCTCCATTACTTTGTAGTCTTAGACATCACATAATATACAGTGTGTATAGCACGGGGTGTTTACGGGATGCAGTGCTCTGTTTGAAAAATAAATTGTTCTTATCTCCTTGTTCCCTGTGCACTCGACCCTTCTTCCCTTCGTCGATTGGCCACAGTAGTTACTGTATCTAATCGTCGAAGGGAGGGGGGGTGGGGGTGGAGGGGGGAGGTAGGTGAGAGGTTAGGAGATAAGAACAATCAATTTTTTGAACGAAGCACCGTAGATACTACGGGTCATGCTATGACATTGTGTACCAATGTCATTTGAAGTGATTATACAAACAAGAAAAAATAATGTTACACTCGTCATTATCTCCTGTTCAGATTATTATTTATTCAAAATTGACCGTATGATTAGAAGCTAGCGCAGAGTACCATATAGACCACTATGTAAAATTTCATAACGATTCAACGGTCAATTTGTCACAAATCATGCAATTTAAATTTTAGAAATATCAATTCAGATGTTTGATACCATCCTCAAGTGCCGATTACCCCATAGGTAGTCACCCTCTGCATCTCACACACAACCATTATTCCAATTTCCAAATCTCTTCAAATGTTTTAATTTTAATACCATTATCATTTCTTCTGGATTTTAAAACTCACATTACATTATAATATTATACTCTCTTTGTTTCAATTTGTTTCGATTTACGGGGTTTGACTGAAATTATTTGCAAATCATTTTATATGAAGAATGGTGTAAAACTAAAAAATAAAAGTTGCATATTTAAAAATTATAGCAAAAGGTTTACAAAACTACTGATGGCATGACTATATTATTTTATTAAATAACCAATGAAAAGAAAAAAAACAAAGTGAATGAAGTTTGACCATATGAATAGTAAACTGACAATTTAATTTGGGACGAGAGAGTACCAATCATAAATAACTCGCGTGAGCTCCAAAAAGATTGAGTCTTGATTTTTCTTGATATGTGAATTCTAAAATTTCGAACGTTTTGATATACCTCGACCACACACATCGCTAACCCATCACTAGCGTTGTGGGGCAACAACCACCATCACGACTCTTATAACTATATTCTAATTTTTCGTCAAACAACATTCTAAACATCAAAATTTATTATTTTTACCGATATTAAAACACATTCTATTAACCTTGATTTTCTCGTAACTACGCTGAGAAGCAATTATGCTAAACACATGGTCTCTGTAAGTACCAAGTGCACACTTCATCTATCTAAGATTAAATTTCAATTTACCTTTGCTTCGTGACCGTCCGACCGGGTCTGAAGAAGTGTTCGGGAATGGATTTCATCTTTTTTTTTTCATAATAACCTTGATTTATGTGGAAGTGACAATTGGCTTTAAAATGTGGACATACAAGTTCCCCTAATTTAGGAGGTGTGTATGGCCCGGGACGCAAATTCCATAAAACTTTCATTCATCCTTCAAACTTATCCCCCCATGCAACAACACCACATTTGCTTCTTCTCTCTTTTCTTCCCCCAACCCTCCCTGCCCTTCTCCTAAAGGTATCCTTCGTCTCCCTTCTTCTTCAATTTCTCCTTTTTCTCGCATTTCTAGCTCGCATTGAGGCATGTTTATGCATTATATTGTTCGATTTTTGCTTGATTTTGATTGATTTTTCATGAATTTTGTTTTCCCTTTTTGCTGTTCTTAATGTGCAGAGGTCACTTTTTGGGAGATCGGCAGGGTGCTCGGAGCAGATTGTTGTTGTTTCAAGCGGATAGCAGGCGAAGACATCGGAGGATAAAATGTCTTCCCCTATTGAGTCGCCGCCTTCGCCTGATTCGTCCGATTCTTCGCCGCCACCTCCTTCACCACCGTCGAATTCATCTCCGCCTCCGCCATCGCCATGGACAAATTCACCTCCGCCGCCTCCTCCATCACCATGGAAAAATTCATCTCCGCCGCCGCCTCCATCGCCGTCGCCGAATTCATCTCCGCCGCCGTCTCCAGATTCAAACCAGAGTTCACCGCCTCCCAGCAACAGCTCGCCACCTCCGCCTGATTCGTCGAATCCGAACCCTCCGCCTCCACCGCCGCACTCACCGCTTCCTCCGGCGGCGAAGCACAAATCGAGTTCGTCGTCGTCACACCGTTCGTCCTCGGACAATGCGCTATCGGATAGCCAGAAAGCGGTGATTGCGGGAGTTGCAGCAGGAGCGGGGCTTTTGCTTCTGATTCTGATCGTCTTCCTGATTTCTTGCTGTTGTCGACGGAGAAAGCGAAGGCCGCGCGGTCAAATCCATTACTACAGCAATGGTCATGAAGGAGGAGGTAAGTATACAATATGGTCTGCACCTATAATTTCTTACCCCATACACAACATTTTTTAATTTTTCAAAAAATAAATGTGTATTTTTTCTGAAATTTCATTTTTAATTTATTTTTTATGTATTATAAAATGATATTACCAATGAAAATGAAATCGTAACATCAATTTCATAGTGTTCATTAGAGATTATTATAATGTATAAGGAAAGACAATCCTACATTGATACTCCTCCCTCCGTCCCATAAAAAAGATCTCATTTTGACCATAAATTGGTCAAACTGTTGTACACTTTGACCCTAAATTAAATATAACCTAAATAAATAAATGTTAAAAAATTTGAGATATTAAAACTAGATCCTAAAATGAATCCAATTGTATAAAATTTATTTCATAATTCAATATACTTTTCTCACAATTTGTAGTCAAAGCGTGTAAATATTTGACTAAATACTATTCAAAATGAGAACTTTTTTGTGGGACGGAGGGAGTATAAGATTTTTTCATCAATTCAATTAGAATATGTACGGTATAGTCGGTATTCCAATTATAAAATTTATTGTTCTTACCTTGTATTTTTACCACTGATTTTATGAAAACCTATGGATGTGCTTGGTACATGAAAGTCAGAGTATGAAATTGAAATTGGAGATTTCAATTTCCATTCTATTGTTTGTTAATATAAAAGTACATGAATTTGGAATTGGATTTTAATTTCAATTTTTTACATCAATTACTCTACAATAATGTGGATTGATAACACAAAAATATGTGGATGTAAATTTGAAATCATAATGCAATTCTATACAATTTTATGATAGCAAACAAGGAGGGAATGAAATTATAATATAATTCTACATTAATTCTTGAATTATACCAAACAAAATACTTCCATTCGTCCTAAAAAGATTTACACCTTTCAAAAAAATTATATCCCACAATCTCCTATCCATTTCAATTAAAAAACCATTTTTATCCCTTACTTTTTCAAACCCTACCTATCACATCATACCTTTTTTCTAATAATCTACACATCACATCCTACTTTTACTCATCACATCAAGAGTATTTTTGGAAAGTTAACACAAAATTATTCTTTCCTTAACTTTAACTTTAGTCAAAAAGCGTAAATTTTTTTGGGACGGATGTAGTATTTGATTTTTTTAGTGCATATTTGAATTTGATATAAGATCAATTTTATAGAATTTAAGTTTTTAAAAGGATAAAATTGGAAATCTGCAGCGAACTACTACGGAGGGCCGAATGGAAACTGGCACAACAACGTCCACTCGGGGGAACACATGGTCAAGATGCCACCCCCTCCACCAGGCCCACCCAGCGGCGCCGTGAGCTCAGAGTACGGCTGGCCAATCGCTCCACCTCCGCCCCCGCCGCCAATGATGAGCAGCGGAGAGATGAACTCCGCCGCCTTCTCCGGCCAACACCAACCTGCCGCGGCGGCAACACAGCCTCCTCCTCCGCCCATGTCACTCGGCTTCAACCAGAGCAGCTTCACTTACAACGACTTAGCCGCCGCAACAGGGGGCTTCTCGCAGTCCAACCTGCTGGGGCAGGGCGGGTTCGGGTACGTCCACAAAGGCGTGCTGCCCAACGGCAAGGAAGTGGCGGTGAAGAGCTTGAAGTCGAACAGCGGGCAAGGGGAGAGGGAGTTTCAGGCGGAGGTCGAGATCATCAGCAGGGTACATCATAGGCATTTGGTGTCTCTGGTCGGGTACTGCATTGCCGGACAGCAGAGGATGTTGGTGTACGAGTTTGTGCCTAACGGAACTCTTGAGTTTCACCTTCATGGAAAGGGCCGCCCAGTTATGGACTTCCAAACCAGGCTCAAAATCGCCCTTGGCTCTGCGAAGGGCTTCGCTTACCTACACGAAGATTGTGAGTTCTTCTTTAACTTTCATTTCTAAAGACCCATAATCCCTGTTTTATTCTTATAATCTGGATTTATTTCAGGCCACCCTCGCATTATACACAGAGATATAAAGGCTGCAAACATTCTACTGGACAACAATTTTGAGGCAATGGTGTGTGGTTTAACTAAGCTCCCTTTGCCACTTCCACAAGCATAATCCAATTTGATGCATGCTTCATGTTTGGGAGCTTTATTTCAATTCTCCCTCTCTTTATATTTTATCTTTACACTATGTTTGGTTCAAGGAATTTGGAAGGAAAAGAAAAGAAAATGGTTTTCTCTCATTTTCCTCACCAAAATGGAAGGAATTTAGTTTTCCCTCCACTTGGTACATTTTGCCATCTCATTTTCTTTTCCTACCACTTTTCCTTCCTTTTCCCATCTAACCAAACAAGAAATACAGTTTTCCACTTCATTTTCTTTCCTTTTCCTTTTCAAATTCTTTGAACCAAACATAGTGTTAGTCATTTCTTTTTCAATTGTCTCAATATTATTCTATTATTGTTTGGAATTTATCCAAATAAAGAGTATTAATCAATGATCTGTTTTTGTTTTTGTTTAGGTTGCTGATTTTGGATTGGCTAAACTCTCGTCAGACAACTACACTCATGTCTCCACGCGCATCATGGGAACGTTTGGGTTTGTGAAATTATAATGCAGTCATGGAACTAATTAAATTTTATTCCCATTCCATTTAAATTGATGTGTGTGTATGTGATTATTTATTCGATGTGCAGATACCTTGCTCCAGAATATGCATCAACCGGAAAACTTACCGACAAATCTGATGTCTACTCTTACGGAGTGATGCTCTTGGAACTCATAACGGGAAGACGCCCTGTTGATGTTAACAGTGATGAAGATGACAGCCTTGTGGATTGGGTATGTATATACTCTTCTATATTTATGCTTCCACAACTTTAATTTACATGAAATTTGAATTTCCCATGCAAAACTATGCAAATGCTTATTAGTCTATTGCTGAAAAATAATTTTTAACTCATAAGAAATATTTGCACTAAATTGCACTAAAACTTAAGTTATTTCCCTAAATAGGACTTAAAATGTTTTATTCCATAAATAGTACTTAATAATGTCCATAATGTCCTGTGATGATGAATATTTACTTGAATAATGACTAATGCATAATGACTAAAAGTGCTACATTGAGAAGAAAAACACATGTGGTGCTATCTAGGGAAAATCATTATGTTTTAGTGCTATTTAAGTAAATTCCTCAACTTATAAATTGCTAATAAGTCAAATATTTTTTCGTAGAAGTAAAATGACTAAATGATAGATAAGTCATTTGTAAATAACTAAATATTTATAAATGGTGAATGACAGTTTTGTAAATAATTTAGTCAAAACATAGAAATGAAAAAACTTACTTAAAAATTAGTAACTAAGACATACTTATTTTTTCTAGCTTATAAACATGTCATCAACTGACTTTTGTTAAAATTTGTTTATAAGCAATTTTGACTAGCTTGTAAGCACACAAAAACAATTACTTAATACTTCATCTCCATAAAAGAGCATGAAGTGGTTCATTTTATCTTCTCTCGTTTGCATAAATTTCAACTATTTAATTTTATTATTTTTTATGTTCTACTCCCTCCGTCTCTAAATAAACTTCCCCTTTCGTTTTCTTTGTCCCCAAATAAACTTCTCTTTTCTCTTAAAAAAACCCCTTTTACCCCTTACTTTTTCATACCCTATCTATCACATCATACATTTTTACTAATAATCTACATATCACATCTTACTTTTACACATCACATCAGAGGCATTTTTGGAAAGTCAACACAAAAATATCCCTCTCTTAAATCCTCAAAAAGTCAAAAAGGGAAGTTTATTTAGGGATGGAGTAAGTATGTAAAAAATATTCCTACTAATTTAATTTGAAAGGAGTAAATGTATAATGTGTGTATGCGGTGGTGCAGGCAAGGCCAATTCTAATGCGAGCGGCGGAGGGAGGGAGCTACGAGGAGCTGGTGGATCCACGGCTGGAGAACAACTACGACCACCAGGAGATGAACCGAATGGTGGCTTGCGCCGGAGCCAGCATCCGCCACTCCGCCAGGAGGCGGCCCAAGATGAGCCAGATCGTGCGCGCTTTGGAAGGTGACGTCTCTCTAGAAGACCTCAACAATACCGCCGCCGTGAAAAGCCAAACAAGCAGCGCCGCTACGTTCAGCTCCGGCGGCAGCTCTGAGTTCGACGGGAATCCGTACGACATGAAGCGGTTCAGAAAATCTGATTTGTTATCAAGCCAGGAATTGACCATGAGTAGCGGTGAACAGTGAATATTCATTTTCTTTATTTAGTTACTCGAAAATAAGTATTCAGTTGTTCTGTAAATGAATATTACAGAAAACACTGTACAATGTTTGTGCCGTATATAGGGCGCAGTATAAGAGCCTAATTAATTAACTAAATTGCTACCCTTTGCAATCATATTTAACTTAATTTTTGTGGTATATCAAAAGTTGAATGTGCATATAAACACAAATCATGTTTACATTTGTTTAATTTTTGATGTATTATGAAACTTATAATGATCATTTAGATTAAATGGGACAAGTAAATGTTAATTAAGTAGTATATCCATGAGGATGTGCAATATATACATATTGAATTATTGCGTGCTAAAGGAAGCTTCAGGCTACACATACACTCTTCTTTTGAATAGTAATTTTATTAAATATTCCAATAAAAGAATAAGGGGGTGTTTGTTTTTTCTGCAGGAAAATGTCTGCGGTCTGCGGACCACTACTGTAGACATCTGCAGAAGAAGTGGTGGACCGAAGGTCTGCGGTCTGCAAGAAGAAGACTGTTTGTTTTTTTAATGTCTGTAGACTGCTATATAAATTAATGGTGGTAGTGTACGGNGGTGGACGGTGGCGGTGGACGGTTGTGGTGGTGAAGAGAAGTAGAAAAAAAAGGAGAAGATGTTAGAAGATGTTAGAAGACATTGATTAATGTCTTCTCCAAAAAGATGCCAGGAAGACCTTTTTGAGTGAAATGTCTTCCAAAAAACAAACAATCTGCAGAGCCCATCATCTGCGCGCGTCTGCGCGGCGCAGACAAAAGACGCCAGAAGGTCTTCTGGCAGAAAAACAAACACCCCCTAAGACTCGTAAATGAAATTCAAATTAAAAATATTTGAAACATCGTAAAAAAAGATTCGTACCCGTTGACATTATCACAAATTTCTTTAAAACCTTTTTCCTAAATCTCATTATACAATAAAGAATTTTATATATTTTGAAAAATAATAATTCTTCACCAATTCATCATAGATATATTATACTTTGTATTTTAATAGTATGGTTGTAGAATTGAATTTTGCACAAAATAAAGTATAGATGGAGGAGTAACAATCTGTCATTTAAATCATAAATTGTCTTATTTTAAATTGCATATTTTATAATTTTGTCTTTTTCATTTTATGAAAAATAGTATGAGATTCATAGTCTTTCAATCTCAAACTAAAGTTTAATTTACTACTCATACTATTTAGAAGTTAAATACTCCCTCCGTCCCTAGATAAACTTCCGTTTTTGACTTTTTGAGGATTTAAGGGAGAGATATTTATGTGTTGACTTTCCAAAAATACCCTTAATGTGATGTGTAAAAGTAAAATGTGATATGTAGATAATTAGTAAAAAGACATGATGTGATAGGTAGGGTATGAAAATGTAAAAGGGGGTTTTTAAGGGAAAAAAGAAGTTTATTTGGGGAAAAAAAAAGAAAGAGAAAATTTATTTAAGGACAGAGGGAGTACTATGTTTCTTGTTCTTTATTTAATTTTATTAATCATTTATTATGATGATACTCTATAATTATGTCTTGTTTTGTTTTATATAACATTTGATATTGTTTTTAAATATGATCCATAATTTTTATTTTAAAGTACTCCATATTATATTATTATTTAAATACATTAAGTTGAAAACATATTCCTATTTTTTTAAATAATTTCTACATAAATACTGCATTTGTCCTGAGATTTATTACTCTGGGTATAATTTTTTCTCAAGATAATTTTTTTTATTTGTTTATTTTTATTAATTATTTGAGAAAATAAAATATCTGTAGCACCTCTTATCTTATAGAGTTTTTAATGTAGTTTTTTTAACATAGGGTATGCACATTTTATTTTTCATTCTAGTACTAACTTTTAAATAAAATCATTTAAAACAACACAAAATTTTATTGAGTATTGCGAAAATTGCAATCTAATTTAAAAGGGAGAGATTAAAAAAAACTCACTACGTATACTTTTTAACTTTTCTTTTCAAATGTGCTCAATCAAAGAAATAGTGTGAAAAGTTAGTTAAATACAAATAATACAGAGTAAAAAGTTAGTTAAATGGACAACTAAAATACAAAGTTACAAACATCAACAAGTCTTATTTTTCAACGATTTACCAAAAAAAGAAAAAAAGAAAAAGAGGCGTCGGCGAGAGAGGTGATGCGCCATGAGCCCCCACCACCCCGCCCGACGAACTACGCCCCTTTTTTAACCCTAATTTGACTTCCAGGCTTCATCCCCGGCAAACCTGCACCGGAATTTCTATTGGATTTAGGGATTGAGTTCAAGGATGCGACTTCTCCACACACACTTTTCCTGCATTATTCCGGATTTTTGCGCAGAATGGCGTTGATTAGTCGTCGATTGCTGGGATTCGGCGTTTGATTGCTTCCGGAGGTTTTAGTCACCCGGAGGCGGATCTGTGTTTGAAATGGAGTCCTTAAATGAGCTGTGCGATTTGATCGCCGAGAATCCGAAGCAGTTCCAAGATAAACTGATGTGGATGTGTGGCCGATGTCCACCTGCGGAGGTAATGCTCGCCGGTTCTCATCGGATTTCGAGGTCACATCTCAATGCAATCCTAGCAGTGGCTCGATTCCTCTCCAGGTGCTCAAATGCCGTGGAGAATTTGCCCACTTCACTTGTCATTGCCTTTTATCGGTCTCTACCTTCTTCTCTGGATCCATCCTTTTGGCCTCAATCGTTTGGGATCGATTTGATCACACTATTCTTTAATGATTTTCTGGGATATGTCTCAAAGGCATCAGATCTATGCCCAGATTTTGCCATGTATATCTCGGGGTTCACGGGCGAGATTGTGATGTCTGCAATAGGCAATGTCAGTGGAGATACCAGGATATCCAAGGTGTTCTTGAATGCCATATCTTTGAATTTCCCTCCAATTGATCATTCTGATGCAGATAGGCTAATTTCTGCTCTTCTTGATCGGTTTGAGATTTCCATTCCATGTTCTCCTCTAGAACTCATTTCGAGCACCTCGGAAGCAAACTCTGCTCAGAGCTCACCACTGAGTTTGGGCCATTATAGGTTGAGTCCTAGAAATGATATGACCAATGTCTCTGGATCATCCAGTAGTTTAGTTTCTAGAATTGCTGATGATGCCGTCAGCACAATGTCACCCAAGGGTATCATGGTGAATGGGAGCAGTGGTCCTGTGAGGACCAATGTGGACTTACTGGCAACAAGTATGTTTTATAATGAGGAGGAGCCTTTAGATAGCCTTGAGAAGAGGGAAATAGCTTTCAAATTGATAGGACACTTGTTGGAAAAAGTATCCGTTGATGTTAAGCTTTTGGAGCAAGTGCGTAGTATCGCTAGAGAGCAACTACAGTCAATGGTGGTTTTTCTCAAGGTAAAATTAACAAAATGCATCTTTATTGATCTGTTGCCAAAAGATTCCTCATCGAAAGAGAGATACAAGGTTTCTGATTAAAATTACTTCATTTTTTTTGCAGATAAGGAAGCATGATTGGGCAGAACAAGGTCAGCCACTGAAAGTTAGGATCAACACAAAGCTTTCAGTTTACCAAGCAGTTACTAAGTTGCAGATTAACACATTTATGACCATTGATTCTGACGGGAAGTTGTCAAAGCGGTTGTTGCATGGGGCCCTTGCGCTATTGATTGAGGCTGCTGAGGCGTGCTTGTTCTCAGTGTGGCGAAAGATGAAAGCTTGCGAAGATCTGTTCAGTTCATTGATTACTGGAATTTCCCAAGCTGCAATGGCGCGTGGTGGTAAGCTGTTACATCTTTTGCTAAGCCGCTTTAAACATCTTGTCCTGGCTGCATGCGCTCAGGTACACTCTTGGGGTCTGCTAAGGTTGTTCCAAATATGATCGCATGCTGCTGTTGAATGTTTTTTGGGTACTATGGTCTTACTGACAGGCTGACACTTGGCCCAGCAGTCAAGGGACCATGTTCGAGAGCATCTTGACAACTAGCTCTGCGATAATTGAATTTGGATGGAAATCAGATCGATCGCTTGTGGACAGTTTCATTATGGGATTGGCTTCAATTATTCAAGAAAGAAATGACTACAAGGAAGAGGTTAGTTGACACATATGAACATATTGTCATTTGGAAGTAGTTGAGAGAGTGTATGGTGTAGCAAGTATAGATGTCCATTTGCTTTTGTTCAAATTTTCCATGTTTTCCTTGTTACCTAGCTCTTTGTGAGGTCACTGCATTATACAAATTTTCATACTTTTAAGTTGAAGGTCGATGGGATGACTGAAAAATCCAGTGTTATCTTTTCAACCTTGGTTCTGTAGAGGCAAGTCAGAAAGAAAATAAAATAGAACCATCTGATTTGGTTCATTCTAAATAGCCATGAGATGATCATCTTAGGCGATCCTTTTGTCAATGAATGCTCCTAAAACACTCGTAGCCTCTGAAGGATGAGAATTGAGAACCAACTATGTAGCATCTAAATTGAGAATAAAAGTGTCACGAGTCGAATCCTATATAGGAACTAAATGAACTTGCAAAATGTATCTAAAGAGATTTGTTGTCTTGTACATTTTTGATTGCACACTGCTTGTTTGACCCAGCTGAATTTTGAAGGTTTTCTAAAAAAAAAAGTTTTCATCTGTCTAGCATTAAAAAGTCTCTTATTACTTTTAGTTTATGACCCAACTTCTAGATTTTGGAGTAGGTTGGTTCCAAAATAAGTTGGTCTAAACGAGCACATGGCGAGATTAAGTTATATATTTGCTTGGCCTGTTGGTCTTACACTTGTAGGATCTATTCTAATTGTATGTGAATATTATGCCTCTTTTCAGCAAGAGAAGGAGAAATATGCAGCTCCTACTATTCAGTTGAATGTTATACAGTTGCTAGCTGAAGTGACTGTCAATGTTAACCTGCCTGAAGTGGTTGACATGATACTTCCAAGGTTTATTGAAAGTTTAGAAGAGGGTGATGCTTCTGTGCCTGGATTACTAAGACTTCGAGTATGGAGCTGTATTTTTGCTGACTTTAGTGCAATTTCAATCTCTATGTCATTTTACCCTCACAATCCCAAGTGTTTCATTTAATCTTTTTTCTCAATCTCTGAACCTTTTCTTTGGAGTTATTGCAGCTTCTTGATGCTGTTTCTAGTCTGGCGAGTTTAGGTTTTGAAAAAACCTACCGCGAAGCTATTGTTCTAATGATACAGAGCTACTTGAGCAAACTTGCTGGCATTGGATCGGCTGAGAGTAGAACTTTGGCTCCAGAAGCTACCACAGAACGCGTCGAGGTTTATTTCCCTAGGCCTTTAGCTTTTCAATACTGATAAGCTTTAGCTTCATTTGTGAAGAGTTGGATCTTTCTGGTGTGCTCACATGTTCAATCACCTTCTAGACACTTCCTGCAGGATTTCTTCTGATTGCCAGTAAATTAGTCAACCCTAAGTTGCGATCTGATTACCGTCACCGGTTGTTATCATTGTGTTCAGAAGTGGGCTTGGCCGCTGAGGCAAAAAGTGGAAGGTAAGTCTATGCTACAGTGCTAACCTCGCTAAGCAGAACTGCAGACGGCATATAATATTTTCTTCAGTGAAGCTAATGACTCCTGTCTTTTGCAGGAGTGGGGCAGATTTTCTTGGACCTCTACTTCCTGCTGTTGCTGAGATATGTTCAGATTTTGATCCATCTGTTGATATTGAACCCGCGGTTCTCAAGTTATTTAGGAATTTATGGTTTTATGTCGCTCTCTTTGGGTTAGCTCCTCCAATACAGAAAAACCAAAGTATTCCAAAGCCTGTTTCCACTACTCTAAACAGCGTAGGAAGCATGGGAAGCATTGCACTTCAAGCTGTCAGTGGGCCATATATGTGGAACTCTCAGTGGTCTATTGCTGTTCAGCGCATTTCACAGGGGACTCCACCCCTTGTAAGTTATACAGTGCAAGAGACATCCATGTCCTCTGGTTTAGCTATTTGCTTATATAGTTATATCCACCAACTTTTATATAGTTTGCCACATGTGTTGAAGGCTTGAAGCATAGGCATGGAGCTCTACATTTCTACTACTACATGTTACAATTTTGTAGCCTTAATTTTTAAATTATTATAGATCTCCCTCGAGAAGGGGAGGATTAGCACATTGGTTGAGGTGTTGCCATGTGACTTTGAGATTATGGGTTCAAGTCTAGAATCTACCTCTTACAAAAATGCAGGATAAGATTTGCTTACATTGCACTAGAATGCCCTTTATATAAATCTCTCTCATATTTAATCCTTTCACATTTTGAAGGAATGCCGAACTTTTCTTTGCTATGATGTATAGTGGTCATTTGAAAAAAAGGGAAGAAGAAATAACAGAGTATAGTGCACACACATTCATATAAAGTTTACTAAATATGATTATTCAGTCTAATGTCTACCAGAAATACATCAGATCTTTGATGAATAAAGAATCATTCTTGTGAGAAAGTTTAGTCTGGGGAGTCGAAGAGTGTTGTGTGTGTCAATCCAATTTACCTGAAGAATTTGTATATCTATTGAAGCTTTAAATGAGTATAACCTGCAATGTTCACGTGACATATATGAACATTTCAGCAAAATATGATTTGGAAATACAGACTATGTTATTTGTAACTGCTAGCCTGCTATAAATGATGCACCACAATCCATGCAAGCTTTATTATTAGCACTCATTTCATATTCATTGAAAGAAATAGTGTCTTTATTTTATAGCTTTGATACCAACAAACAGTTTCATCAGGTTGTGAGCTCCGTGAAATGGCTTGAAGACGAATTGGAACTTAATGCTCTTCATAACCCAGGTAGCCGAAGGGGGAGTGGAAATGAAAAGGCTGCTGTAAGTCAGAGGACTGCTCTTTCTGCTGCATTAGGAGGACGCTTGGAGGTTTCAGCAATGAGCACCATTTCAGGTCTTGAAGATATCCCATCTGTGATATTGAAAAGCATTTCCCTTTCCATTTTTCAGCAACCTATGATTGAACTTTTGCGTGTCCTAATGCATTTTCAGGCACTTTCTTACACAGGTGTGAAGACAACTTATCTACTCGCTGTAGCATTTTTAGAAATCATACGTTTCAGTAGCAACGGAGGCATCCTGAACGTGGGACCTGAATCTACTGCTTCGCGGAGTGCTTTCAATTGTGTCTTTGAATACTTGAAAAGCCCTAATCTTATCCCATCAGTTTCACAGTGCTTAAGAGGAATCATCTACCGGGCTTTTGAAACAGTACTAGACTGGCTGGTACGCTCATACACTGTGTATTTGCTCTGTATCTATTTTCCCAATTTAGTTGGAAATTTTGAAGTTAACAAACATGGTTACGACTTATGAGTGGAATTGCAACTTTTGAAAGGATGACCGAAGATCTGAGACGGGGCAGGTTGCTGAGACTAGAGAATCTACCCTGTCTGTACATGCTTGTTTTCTCATAAAAAACCTGTCTCAGAGGGATGACCATGTTCGCAATATCTCAGCTGATTTGTTGAATCAATTTAAAGATCGATACCCTCAGGTTGAAATGTTGAATCCTATTGGTTTTGAATTTCTCACAAATTGCTTATTGTTATTGCTATGTTTTGTTTCTCTTGCTCATTATAACCCCCATCAATGTACATGCACTTGCAGATTTTGTGGAACACACCTTGTTTGGATTTGCTGCTATTTTCTGTACAGAATGAACCTTCTTCAACTCTTGTAAGCGATCCAGCCTGGGTTGCAACTGTCCGTTCTCTGTACCAGAAGACTATTCGGGAATGGATAGTTGTGTCACTATCGTATGCTCCATGTACAACTCAGGGTCTTCTTCAGGTTGCTTGTTAAATTTTCACCAGTTCATCGTAATGCTCTATACTTTCTTTCATTAATTTTACTGCCAGCACGCCCCATTGATTTCACAACTTTTTAATGACCTTATCAGCACTGTTTCCATTTCTTTGGAACCATAATTTTCTAAAATGGAGAAATATGTTATTCAGGAAAAGCTCTGCAAAGGAAACACTTGGCAAAAAGCACAGCCAACTAAAGACGTTGTTTCTCTTCTATCTGAGATTAAGATTGGTACTGGCAAGGACAACTGTTGGACTGGCACAAAAACAGCAAATATTCCAGCAGTCATGGCTTCAGCAGCTGCAGCATCTGGTGGAAACTTGACTCTGACAGAGGCATTTAACTTGGAGGTGCTAAGTACTGGAATGGTTAGTGCTACAGTAAAATCTAACTATGCCGGGGAGATTGCTGGGATGAGAAGGATATATGAGGGGATTGGTGGGCTTGATTCTAATCTCCTAACCATGGGAAATGAGCTTAATTTTGATCCTCCAACCCCTGGATCTATTGCTATTGTTCGAGATTCACATCCCAAAAACGTTTCCTTTTGTGAGTTATTACTTGTGAGGTTTGTTCGCCTACTTCAAAAGTTTGTTAGTATAGCAGAGACGGGTGCAGAGGTAGATAAATCCTCTTTTCGTGAAACATGTTCTCAAGCTACTGCTTTACTTCTTTCAGACATGGTATGTACAAATATCTAGCTTCTCTTTACCTTTTTCCGTGAAGGCACTTGTTTTTATCCTATATATCATCTGCCGAAATTGATGGTGCACACTCTGTTACAGGGTTCAGGTTCAAAGTTTGTCGAGAGCTTTTCACAGCTTCTACGTCTGCTTTGCTGGTGCCCAGCTTATATTTTAACCCCTGATGCAATGGAGACTGGTATATTTATCTGGACATGGTTGGTTTCAGCAGCTCCTCATCTGGGACCTCTTATCCTTTCTGAGCTGGTTGATGCATGGTTGTGGACGGTTGACACTAAACGAGGTATTTTTGCAGCTGAGACACGATATTCTGGACCTGCTGCTACGTTAAGGCCTCATTTGGCCCCTGGGGAGCCAGAATTACCTCCAGAAAAGGACCCTGTTGAACAGATAATGGCTCATAGACTATGGATTGGATTTTTTATTGATCGCTTTGAGGTGATGCATTTTGTTTTTATTTCTGCAATGCTTTAGAAGTCATGCCACTCCATTTTGATTTGTATTAAACATGTGGAACTTGTAAGTTTGTTGTCATAGAATGGTGCTGCTTTTTCTTTCATGTAACATGTGCAAATTATATCTTCTTTACTTATTTCATCCCATGCTTAAGTCTTAACCTGTGTTAACTAATCTGCGAGAACCTATTACAATCTTTGTTTCTATGCAGGCCGAACAACTTGTTCTGCTTCATTTAAAAAATTCTATATATTTAATAGTTTTTCTTTTTCTTAAGACTTTCTTGTCTTCTTTTATGTGTGCAGGTGGTTCGACATAATAGTACTGAACAGCTTTTACTACTAGGTCGTTTGTTACAAGGAACCACAAAGTTCCCTTGTAACTTTTCTCGCCACCCCGCTGCCTCTGGAACCTTCTTCACTCTCATGCTATTAGGGCTAAAATTTTGCTCATGCAAGTCACAGGGTAGTCTACAGAACTTCAGGACTGGGCTTCAGCTACTGGAAGACAGGATTTACAGGTTAATGCTGTTATATCTATGTTGATCATATCATGGCCACCCCTTAAAGCATTATCACATATCAAATGTATGCATAAATTGGGTAATGTTCCAACATGAACCTGTAAAACTTTTTTTTTATATCAAATTGTGAATGTTAAAAAATTGTTTCCATATCTCTGACGAAGCCAAAGATTCACTACTTTTTGGCTTTGGGGTATGATGGGATAAAGCAAAATGGTTCTTTAAAGCGCCTACACTTCTTTTAAGTTTTAATAGTGAAGTAGTCAATGCAACTTTCGATACTCATCACATGTCATGTGGAAACAACCCCTCTATGTTTTGAACATAGTGGTCAAACTACGTACATCCGACCCCCTTACCCCGCAATTGGCGGGAGCCTTTGAGTCACTGGGGTAATGTTGTTTGTTTTGTGCATGTTCAAACCCGCCTAATTTCCAGAATTATTACTTCATTACTGTTGATCGAAATTTTTTGTTTTAAAGATAGAAATCTGTGCTCTATAGCCTATACAGTAGGGCCAAAGTATGAAATTCCAAGTTAAACAAACATTTTCCCTTATTCGATCACATATTGTTTCTTTCGCTATGCGCCTGTGAGAATGAAATAGTGGCTTATTTTGATTATAGGAAACTTGAGCCTTAGACATAAAGTATAAAGTTGTTATATTCATCATAGTTCAGTTTCATTTTGATCTTTTGGCATCTCATTCTAGTTCCGTTATTTATTCCATTCAGTACTGTGCAGTCTGTGCTGTATTCCAAGTGCTTTAAATGTGTTTGGTTGGCGGAGGTCTCGTGTTTGAGTCCCNTCAATGTCCCCCCCCCCCCACCCCCACCCCCATGAAAAGTCCTAGTCTCCTGTGCCCAAAAAGAACATTTAATGTGCATTACATATGCTAAGGATTTTTGTTTCACTAAAACTTTTAGTGCCTGTATGTAGATACAACCTTTCCTTCCTGTTTGTTGTTCTTTCCTTGTAGCTGATTTATGTTTTTGCTTTTCACTGCTTGTTTTTTGATGCAACATTTTTGTTCCACACTCTACACTAATTCTTCCAAACTTTTCCTTACCTGTTTCCACGTAAACAACCTCTCCACTTGTGGTCTGCATACATCTTACCCTCCCAAGACCATTGGGCGGCACTTATTAGCTTTGTTTGGTTTTGTTTTATTTGTGTAGATTGTAGACACAAATATCTTAAACATGTTTTTCTAACTAAGACTTGGCAATGCTGGCTGAATAAGTTCTTGATAATATTAATAACAAAGGTAGCGTGAGTGTTAGCATTTTTCTCAAATGGCTGCCTCATTATTTAGATATTTCGTTGAAAGTTAAGCTGATGAATGATGATACATCGTAACTACATTTTTAAATAAATTGCCACACTTTGCTAATCAGTCATTTCAAGCACAGATTCAGCAATGTTCATCAAACAGGCTCTTAGCAGGTTAGCTGAGTTATTATCCTGGTGTTGTGCAGGGCTGCGCTGGACTGGTTTTCCCATCTTCCCGAATGGTATGACATCGGCAATAACAATTTCGCACTGAGCGAGACTCACTCTGTTTCTGCATTTGTCCACCATCTTTTAAATGAGCCTGATGATACCCAGCTTGATAGGAAGGGACATGGTTCAGAAAATGGAAGCTCTTTCAACAATGTGGTATGATATCACTTTTGGTTGACATTTAAATGAAAAACGATAATACCCCTAGTACCATTTGTTCATATTTTAGGCCATGTGAATGATAATAGCACTGTTTTTTCTTGGAAAAAGCCAAGTGCTGCAAGCTTCTAGACCATTATGCTTATCTCATGTACATGTTAACTTTATTCAGAAGGATCAATATCACCCTGTTTGGGGCCAGATTGAGAACTATACTATTGGAAGAGAGAAGCGGAAACAGTTGCTTTTGATGTTATGCCAACATGAGACTGATAGGCTTGATGTTTGGGCACAACCTATGATTTCCAAGTACACTACATTGAAATTGCTGGATTTAATTTTTATTTTTAGCCAACTTTTCTCTTGTGTCAGCTAATATATTCAAATATTTGTTTTTGGTGTATAAGGGAAAGTGTTTCACGGCCTAAAATTAGCGCAGACAAATTGGTTGAATATGCTAAGACTGCCTTCTCTGTTGATCCCCGGATAGCTTTATCACTTGCATCGAGGTTTCCTACAACTAGTGCTCTCAAAGGTGAAGTGAGCCAATTGGTTCAGGTGCATTCTAACATCTAACACAATTCTCTAGATTATTAATTAGTATTGTCTTGTTATTGATATAAATTCAATCTCTTTTTTATCGTCTTGTCATTGATATAAAAATTGAAGTTTTACATGTGTTTCTGTTTTTCCCTGCTGTAGTCGCACATACTAGAGATTCGCAACATACCTGAAGCTTTGCCATACTTTGTTACTCCTGATGCTGTTGATGATAATTCATCACTTTTGCAACAATTGCCACACTGGGCTGCTTGTTCTATCACTATGGCTTTGGAGTTCCTTACACCACCATATAAGGGCCATCCTCGTGTGATGGCTTATGTTCTAAGGGTGTTGGAATCTTATCCTCCTGATCGTGTGACTTTCTTCATGCCTCAGCTGGTCCAGGCTTTAAGATATGATGAAGAGGTACATTCTAATATCACCTTTTCTATTAATGATTTGGATATGTGAACTGAAATATAAAACGTATTGCGAATACTAATGAGAAATCTCAGAGTTCATTTTTTTGTGACATGGCAAATATATGTATGTGTTTTTTGAACATGACTTAGTATGTTGCTTAACTTTTTCATATGATGGCAAATCTTGTGCAGAGGTTGGTAGAAGGGTACTTGCTTAGAGCTGCACATCGAAGTGATGTATTTGCCCATATTCTTATATGGCATTTACAGGTGCATGAATTTGTTTTTTTTGGTTCTCAGTTCTCACTATATTTCTAGTGATTTGTCAAAATATGTCTTTCTCTTAATGTAACATGCCTCGGCTTGGCATGCAATAATTACTCACTCCAAAAATATTTTAGGGAGAGACATGCACGCCAGAACCAGGGAAAGATGCTTCTGCAAAGGTATTGTTAAGAACACTAGAGGCTTTTTTTTTTTAATGCTAGACATTTCTTTAATACTAAATATGTTTCTCCTTTAGCATCTACGCTAGTATACATAAATGCACTGAAAAGTAACTATAGTGAGTGGCTTAAACTCTTCATTTGGAGGGTCAATCTCACTCTTTTGTAAACTTTAATCTAAAGAGTCCATGTGAGACGCAAATGATTTTAATCTTTAAGTTAAATAAAGTAAGGAATTTAAGGATATCCATGTAAAATTTCAAGAAGCATTCAACAATCAACATCTACGATCTATATTTGTCTGTTGTACATTACAATAGGCTAGTTGTCTGTTTCTGAAGTTACTTTTGTAATTCAGTTTAATACAAAAGCTGAAGAAAAAGAAGCGGATATTATTAACCCGTTTTTATGTTTCTGCCAGAACATGTTTCAGGTGCGCTTGCCTGCAGTTAGGCAACGTATAATTGACAGTTTCAGTCCTAAAGCACTTGATGTCTTTCAAAGAGAATTTGATTTCTTTGACAAGGTCACATCTATATCTGGTGTTCTCTATCCACTTCCAAAGGAGGAAAGGAGAGCTGGAATACGACGGTACTATTTTTTATAGATACTGGCCATCTATTAAATATATGCTCCTATTACCGACATTATAATTATTTTTAAAAAATTTAATAGGGAATTAGAGAAAATTCAAGTGCAAGGAAGTGACCTTTATCTACCTACTGCACCAACTAAACTTGTCAGAGGTATTCAAGTTGATAGTGGAATTCCTTTACAGTCAGCAGCAAAGGTTCCTATCATGATAACATTTAACGTGGTGGATCGAGATGGGGATGAAAATGATATAAAGCCCCAGGCATGCATATTCAAGGTGAGATTAGTGAAGCCTCTAGTGTCTTAGCATTGGTAAACTTTTCTGAAATGGAACAAACTGTAAAAGAGAGGGAACTAGAAGGAAAATGATATTGTTTTATACAATATTAGATTTTTTATTCTGACTTGGACCTTGATCTCTTCAACTTATTTTTTCTACTTATTACTTGTGCTTATCAAAATCAGATCAATTGCAGATTAGAAACAACTTTAGATTACACCACAATCAGATCAGATCCATTCAGATCAAATGAGCCTTAAAAATTTCAGTTCAGATCAGCCTTAAAAATTTCAGATCATATCTAAGTTCAGACGAAGAGAACAGAGCCTTAGTACCCATACCCCCATGGCCCACCCACACACACCAGGCGCACACACGCTACTTGTCTGCACAATTAAAGCTGAACATTGTTATTGTAGGTTGGGGATGATTGTCGGCAAGATGTTCTTGCTCTACAAGTCATTTGCCTTCTCAAGGATATATTTGCAGCTGTTGGGCTTAATCTGTATCTGTTTCCTTACGGAGTTCTCCCAACTGGCCAAGAAAGAGGCATAATTGAGGTGAATTTTGTTTGGCCTTTGATTTTGTTTCTAGGTCTGCTTTTCATTTTAATATGTCACTGCTTTCTAGGTCTGGTTTTGAAACATTAAAAATTAAAAGTGGAATTCAGGTAAAGTTAGTAGTGAAAGGAGTTGAAGTTTTTGAACGGTAATGGTTGTATTCCCTATCTAGCGGCAAGAAAGAATGGCTAAATTATAACTATGGTTTCCTGTCTTTCATTTATAACTGAATATTGCTTGAATGCATTTCTCTTTTTCAAGTGTCAATATTAAAAAAATCAGCACGATGCTTTTGGCATTTGTAAACGGTTAATACTTTAGTTGCTTGACCATACACTATTGCTCAATGGGGTCCTTGATATTTTTTTTGGAGTCAATTCGGTCATTGACTACAATTCAAAACCACTACAACTCTCCTGCATATTTGGCTTTGCCCACAGCCCCACTTAATTGAACAAAAATATTCTTATAAAAATATGTGGGCCCTAAATAGTGTATCACGTATTAGATAACCACATTGAATGTAAAAAAGAAAGCCAGTGTCTGAATTGAGTGATATAAACATATAGTCAATGATCTAAATTGGGCACTACCATATCTTAGAAAGTAAACGGTAGTTGTTAACATGGAAGGTTTGTACAGGTTGTACCTAACACAAGGAGCCGAAGTCAAATGGGAGAGACAAATGATGGGGGATTATATGAGATGTTTCAACAGGACTATGGACCAGTTGGTTCTCCTGGCTTCGAAGCTGCCAGGAAGAACTTCATCATTAGTAGTGCTGGCTATGCTGTTGCTAGCCTTTTGCTTCAACCAAAGGACAGACATAATGGAAACCTTCTATTTGACAAGTATGTACTCCACAATTTTTTGGTTTAACCATAAATATCATAACACCCTTCTATCTCTTTGTAAATTTTCCTCATTTGGGTTAATTAGCATTTTCAAGGGTCATACACTAAAAGTAATAGTCTCTTATTAATTAAGGAGATGACTTAGCTATTTAATTAAAGAATTGCAAATGTGACATGCATTTTCAATGTCTATAATAAAAGAGATGACTTAGCAAATGTGACATGTATTTTGGGACGAGGTTATGTATTCTCTTGCACCACACAAAGAAATACATTTCATGACTTCTTTTATTTGTTCTAAATGGGGTTTGGTATGATAAAGAAATTGATTCCAGTCAGCCATTGGTCAATGCAGTGTTGGGAGGCTTGTTCATATTGATTTTGGCTTTATCCTGGAGACTTCACCCGGTGGGAATATTCGATTCGAAAGCGCTCACTTCAAACTGAGCCATGAGATGACTCAACTAATTGATCCATCAGGATGCATGAAAAGTGACTCTTGGTATCAGTTTGTGAGGTGAGATGTGTTCTTCCTACAGGTTTTAAGAAAAAATCTGCTTTTGCGTCCCACAAGAATTCGGCCATTCCCTCAATTGGTCAACGACTTTCATTTTTTCTACTTTTTGGTGCATGATCACGGATGTCTTGTCATTTCCAGGAACTTATTAAAAATTGACAAGAAATTCATTGCCGTGCACCAAAAGTGGAAAAAAATGAAAGTCTAAATACTATGTATCTGCTAAATGAGCCGTTTATGTTTTTGGTGTTGCAGCTTGTGTGTGAAAGGGTATCTGGCCGCACGGCGCTACAAAGATGAGATAATAAATACAGTGTTGCTGATGAAAGACAGCGGGTTGCCTTGCTTCAGCAGGGGGGATCCGATAGGGAATCTTCGCAAGAGATTCCATCCTGAAATGAGCGAACGTGAAGCAGCTGCCTTCATGATTCGGACGTGCGTCGATGCGTATAACAAGTTGACTACTGCTTGGTATGATGTGATTCAGTACATTCAACAGGGCATTGAGAAATGATTCATTTATCTACACAGCAATTGCATTATGAATCCTCATGTTGGAATCCCTTTAAGGCTCTCTTCACATCTGTAAAATTTTGACCAAGTGTAAGTGTCATTATAAACATATTTCCGTCCCATTATTTTGTTACTACTCTGTGTAAAAAATACAATTAAATATAATGTAAATTGATATAATTAGGTTTTTTTTATACTGCAAACTTTGACTTTTACAGTTATGAATGCACTATGATTGTTACTCCGTATAACAACATTTGCACTCAATGCTCCCGTTTTCTTGTTTTGGCTTTTTTAGTCAAAGAATGATAATTTTTAACCATAAATTAAACAACATTTAAATAAATAAATGTTATAAAAAATTGATATATCAAAATAATATTTTAAGATAAATCTAATTATATTGAATTTATATTATAATTCATACGTTTTTTCCAATTTCTGGTCAAAGAGTCTGTTTGACAAAATGTCAAAACAGGAAGATTTTTTAGGACTAGAGGAAGTATTAAAATAATATTGAACTTTTCTCTTGATTTGAGTGGTAAGAAGTTAACTCACCAAGATTAATGGGGAAATTCATTCAAGTTTGAACCCTTAGCAGTCTACTTTGTAATTGAGTCAATAGTACTCAAAAAATTACTCCCTCCATCCCAAATTAATTCTGTTTGGTTTATGATATTTTATTAAAGTTATTTTCAAATCAATACAAGTAGAAATATGTAAAAAGTTTATAAATAAAAATTACTCTCCATCCCAAATTAAAATACATGTTAACCATTTACAAGATCAAATTTCATTCACGTATCTTATTTTAATTAGATATTTGATACTATATAAAATATTATAGTCATATTAACACTAGTTTTGCAAATATTTGAGAATCAAACATTATAGACAGAAACAGACAATTTAAATTAGGACGAAGAGATTTACTACTCCCTCCGTCCCAAATTATAATGTTTGTTCACTATCACATGGTCAAATTTCATTCACTTTCTTTCTCTATTTTCGTTAATAATTTGATAAAATAAAGTACTATTGTCAGTACAAGTTTTATAGATCTTTTGATGTAGTATTTTAATATGTAATTTTTATTTTTTAACTATATACCATTTGTCATATAAAATGATTTGAAAATAATTTCAGTCAAACATCGTAAACCGAAACAGACGTTATAAAATGGGACGGAGGGAGTAAAAAGGAGTGACATAACTATTATTTTATCAAATGAATAACAAAAAAAAGAAAAAAAGTATACATCTTATTGTAATATATATACCCAAATTTCCAAAAGCATGTTTACTATCCAACTGCTTTGCATGTTTATTATTCACATGATCAAATTTTATTCATTTTCTTTTCCTATTTTCGTTAATCGTTTGATAAAATAGAACAATCATATCACCACTAATTTTATAAATTTTTTGTAGTTTTTAAACATGTAATTTTTATTTTTTAATTCTACAATATTTTCATATAAAATGATTTGAAAATAAGTTTAGTCAAACATCATAAACTGAAGCACACGATTTAAATTGAGACGGAGGAAGTACTAAATTTTAATGTCATTTTATAACACTAGGTGATTAGGAACCATGTATGGCTTCGTTAAGCCGATGACCAAAGGAGATGGATTACGAGGGGGCGAGGGTGCTTGCCGCACGATGAAGGGTACATCAACGGGAAACAAAAGAGGGGCTGGACAACATCAAAGGGGGAGGGGAGGAACATAGATAGGGCAAGGGGTAGGCTCCGTTATCCGACCCAACGAAGTACATTAGCACTTCCAAATCACTTAGGTATAATATGACACTGAAAACACTTTTCCCCTAGCATGAGTGGTACGAAACCCACTCCCCAGGATTCATGAGGAAATGCACCAAAGTTCGAGCCCCTTCACCACTGGTTGTTTGTGCGTCATTAAGTTGAAAAATGTATGAACAAATATTACATTCTAATATAGCCGTAAAAACAAATAAAATATTCTCCCCCTCTCCAAATCAAATTCACTCTTTCATGAAATACGTGAAGTCAAACTGTAGATTTAAGTTCATTAAAGATCCACAATACAGATATTCTATCATTCTTTTCATAGAATGTAAAAAAAAACTTTGAAAAGGTGCATTGCCCTCAAACCTTACCTCCACGTTTGATTTTGCAGAAAACTGCGAGAAGAGGTGTGGCACTAGTTTCCGCTATATATGTTCCCAAATAATCAGGAGGTCTGTTGCTTTATTATCAGTTCAAGGTCAGCTCCTACTTCAGCCATCTTTGTATCCATCGACGCCCTAGCCGCTTTGGCAATATTTTCAACCTCCAAATCCAAGGCTATTTTTCCAACTACGCCCTCAAGCATCTGTGATATCCACATGATTTAGTATTTAGGCGGTGGTGGTTGTTTGCGTACACTTGAAGAAGAAAAACTGCAAGTATATATTTCTGAACTTACCAGTGATCCAATTGCGACTAGAGCTCGGAATTTTGAATCCGTGTCAATACTTTCCTCTTCTGCAATCTTTACCCAAATATTTGGATATACAAGTTAACAAATGTAGGAGGAAAAAGAGGCGATATCAATTAATGCATCATATAAAACAACAAAACTTAGGTTAGTGAGGAACAGAAGGTATTGGACCTGCATCAGATAAGAATCATCACAAAGTAAATAAATGAAAGTAATGGTACCTCAAGTGCTGCTGAAAGAACTTGAGATTGCCCTTCCTCGTCTTTCTTTTCAATCAAAAGAACAGCATAGCTAAATACCCAACAAAAGGTGACTAAGTTTACTCAAACATAAATCCTTGCATCATCTAGTAGAGACAAGAATCATATCATGACTTACTTGAGTACCAATGTCGAATAAGACAGTTGTACATTTTTATTTGTGGTTAGATAACAGCTGGAGAAAGCATTTAAAATCTGCACACAAAATAAACCGATCACAATTGTGGAAGGAAATGTTGAAAAGATGATGGAATCCCGGCTTAGGTGGTTTGGACATTTGGAGAGAAGACCAATAGAGAAAGGTGGATCAAATGGAAAATAGGCACATGGTTAGAGAAAGTAGCAAATCTAAGAAAACGTGGCACGAAGTGGTCAAGGGTGATCTATGCATGAATGATCAAACTGCATATACGATACATCATAGGGCACAATGGCATCGTTTGATCCATGTAGCCTCCCCACCTAGTGGGATAAGGCTTTGTTGTGGTTGTTGTTGCAGAAGGAAATGTTGACTAGGAGCACCAAGGAAAGATGTTAATGCAATAGATGATAGATATAAAAAAGTGAGAGCACAAAAAATAGCTAGCTAAATAATATGCCTAAGAGTGGCCATAGATAAGATTCTAAATGGAATGGACCATGTTCTTAGGCATAGTAGACATTGTTAATTTGAAGATATAAATCAGCATAGAAGCAGCACCTCCACAAAGAATAAATGATGGTGGAATATATAATCACTTGGCATGCCATTGGCAATTAAACTTATAAGAATTTTGAATTCGAATCTCTATAGCATTCATTATTTAAATGAAGATTGCAACCTCTCCACGGTGCTTTAGTAACCAATCACAGAAGGACGGATTCTTGAATAGATTAGTCACAGCACGGATGCTTGTTAGAAGATTTGCAGGGAGTGGAGGGTTCACTGTGACCTTCTTGACCAGCTCCACAAGTGTATCTGGTGATTACAAAATACAACAGCATAAATTGCCAGGAGTGCGAATAAAAAAGACTTGTAAGGAGCAGAACGGAAGGACATTGATCCTGTACGTAAAGCATAAACCAATCATCTGACGACCTATGATAGATAATTCTGCAAATACCATTATCACTGTTGAGCTGTTTGAGTAGGTTATTTGCCCCATCAGGGTGTAAAATTAACATCCTCAAGATATCAATCACTGCCAAAAGAAACAAGCAAATAAGTGAACCTGTAATCAAACTTTAAATAGACATTTGAAAACAATAACCCAGCCGCACCCTACCCCTGTGAAATACAAAGACACTGTTTCCATCAGGGCCTAGATGCACTGTTGCGTTTACTATCCAAAAATTCATTGAGAGTAAGAAGCAAAGGAAGTTTAATGTGCCACTTTGATTTTATCCATTATTCACCCAAAACTAACAGTGTCAATTACGGCCATTTTAGCTCCATTGGCAATGGACATAAACAACAATCGCTGTAATTAAATAATATTGTAGGAAAGGCAAACCATGTGATTAGGGATGGATTGGAGGAAAGACAAACACCAGTAACATTACAATAGGATAGTAAATGACGGCACCCATGAAATCCTGTAATCTACATATTCTAATGGAAAGCATTATACTTTATAACCAGAGGATTACCAGGAAATAGCATTGATAGTGGCCACATCTTAAGCAACCTCAAAACCAATGCAAGATCGATATCTGAAAATCTACTGCTGTGATAGTGTGATGTATCCTTAAGAATTTTAACAATAGCCGCCAATCTTGACATCTCAGCCTCATTTAATGACAAATTACTTCTCTCCTTCAATAAATAACAATTAGTCAAAAGGACAAGTCAAGATAATGGAGTAAAATTTACAAGATGAAATAATGAAAAAATAGAACATTTTTGAAATTTTTGTTTAGTTATTACTGAGTCAGACTGTAGACTGCTATTGAATTCTGAAATCTTCTTCAGAATTCCATCAAACTGAGCCGTATCAAATGCAAGCATTCCTTTCTGGGAAAAAATGTAAATATCTCAGAAAAAAATCGTTAAAGAGAACCCTAAGTCCTAGCCGTTGGAGCCAAAGTCTAGAGTCTAGACAAGATATAATGACCTTTGGGACATGCTTGGGAGTAGGTTTTGCTGCACTAGTGCCTATTACGCCACAATGAACAAATACTAAGTTATCAGTTACAGAAAACAAATTTAAAAATTGAAGGTTTAGTGGCAATAATGATACAAAGTTACAAACCCAGAGTTTTTGAAGTTTCTCCAGGAACATAAGCATTGGCTGAAATGAGAGGAGATGCAATAATTATTAAGAGTATATAAAAGCCAAGGAAAAAATTAAAAGAAAAAAAGGAATAAGGTCTAATGGGATTCAAGTAACTGATGCCAATGGTTATCACATCAAAAGTACACTATATTTGATCTTACCGCCGGTGAAGGGGTCGCGGAATGATGGATCTGG